CCCACCCCCCCCCCCCCCCGCCTGTAAATCTGATTTAATTCTCATCAGGAAGCCCCGGGTTTGGAGCCAAGGTCAGCCCATGTGGGATTTGTGATGGACGAAGTCCTTCGGATTTCTGTAGAGTTCTTTTTGCCAGGGTTTTGTAATCTTCTCGACAGCTGGTAGCGCCACGAGTCAGGATTCAGATCTTGTTAAACACGCTCTCCGATACGCCGTTAATTGTCTGTATTAATATTTGTTGTTTCTAAATCAACATTTTTTAGCCTGGGGTCCCGGGTTCAATTCTCGGTGGTGCTCAAATTTATAACTTGTGTTGAGCAAGGCCGTGGTCTAGGCAACACGGAGTTTTCCTCCGTGGCATCCCAACAATTACTCCATTCACACACAGAAGAAGGCAATGGCAAACCACTTCTGGATCATCTGCCAAAACGTATATGAACAGGTCCCAGTCCGAGAAAAGGATGGAAGGATCCTGTTCATAGGGACCTGGCGTCAGACAGAACACTAAATAAATAAATGATGGCCACGGTGGTCTAGCGGTTAGAACGCTGGCCTTGTAATCCTGGGGTCTCGGGTTCGAATTTATAATTTGTGTTGGGCAAGGCCGTGGTCTAGGTAACACGGAGTTTTCCTCCGTGGCATCCCCACAATTACTCCATTCACACCCAGAAGAAGGCAATGGCAAACCACTTCTGGATCATCTGCCAAGAACGTATATGAACAGGTCCCAGTCCGAGAAAAGGATGGAAGGATCCTGTTCATATGGACCTGTCATCAGACAGAACACTAAATAATAATAAAAAAAAATAAGTCTGCAGAAAAGAGTGACTTAATATGTGGGACGTAGAAGTTTCGTATAGAACATTTTATTTCTTCTATAAAAATTTACCCTGGAATTTAAGGTAGAGGAATTCTGTACTTGAGGTCACCACTCAAAGAAGCAGTTTACGAGGTAATTTATACTTCCTGCTTTCCTCTACATGTCCTATATAGTATATAATTAACATAATAAGACGTACAACTGTTGGGAGCACTGTCAACAAACCAACGGCAGTGTCACAACGCAGTTTGTTACAGAGTAATAGCTTTTCCTCAGGTGTTGGGATGTTATTCCACGCGTTGTCATTTTATTCATGACAGTAGGAAGTAGGACTCGGGTGCAGTGCGAACGTGTCCTTGTATTGACGCCGCGAGGCGAACAGTGGCGCCGCTGCGTGCTACATAAGCTGTAACCATGGCAACTGAGCCAAAGTCTCTTCAACAGACAGCTGACGCACGCGACCCGCACGTTCCGTAGTCCGTACTCGTTTTATCGATCACTATAGGATGTAACGTGTTCTGGCCAGTTCTCCGTCTGCTACATGAACGGGCGGTGTCTCGAGGATTGGGTAATTATTCTTCGCGTAAAATGGTACACATTACGTCACGCCTGTCCGCCATCATGATTTGTCACCCGAAGCAAAATTTAAAAGAAATGTGATGTGTTTCGGGTTTTCGTGTTAACGGAAATTGTGTTGGAAAAGAGCTGAAGTAGGACCACAGTTTTTATTCTTGGGAGATGTGGCAAAGTTCAATTGCGAATACATTAAAAGTATGCTAAATTTTGAGGAATTATTACTACGACGTAGTTCAAAAATCTTTTTGTCTTCTCGCCTTCCATTTACGAAATGTATGTACGTAACTGTCATTTTTCGGGTTTTTAAAAAAGAGAAGTTGAAACAGGAATTCGGATAAAAACGTAATACTGTGGACTCTCTGGAACATTAGCACTCTTCGCCAAGGGTAATTAGTGTCAGCTATGTAAGGACATGTATTAGGTGTGAGAGAAATGAAAAGTATGCACGATTCTAGTGAAGGGAAGGTGATATTCGGCAGTTCGCATGGTTTGAGGTTATGAACACAACACTTATATTTCGGGCACTTTTATAATAAGAGAGCTCTTTCCGACAAGTCGATGTTGAATCGAACTTCGCTTGTCTTTGCAGAGGCGATGCGTTCCTGGAGCCGTACATGCAAGGTCTCGCTCCACCGGACTTCCAACACATCAGCACGCCAACAGCAGTTGTTCCTGGCAGCGCCGATCAGACGACGCACACCGCCACGTCAGAGGACGACGGCAGCGTCGCCTCGTCTCCTGCGGGAGATAATCACAACACCCTGGCCGACCTCTCTGCACAGTTCAGACTTCTGGAGTTAGATGGCAGTGCGGACAGCCTTGACCAGGTAAAACATTTTTCGTATTTGTTTGTTGAAGGTTACTGGCTTGGAGAAGACAGGACGGAGGTTATGAGATGTTCGTGGGAAGAGAGTGGAACTGCGCCTGTAACTGAACGAGTTGCTTACAGACAAAAATACGCACGCGTGCAATTTATAATATGAATGGCTTTATTAAAGGTGAGAGGAGCGGAACCCCTTTCTGCGGCGGTGTGTTGGCGTAATTGTAATACGATAACTCGCGCTGCTGTTGAGATTTGAAACGCAGGAATGTCTGGTCACATATGCTCTGTTTAAACACGTTTCTACGTCACCGTAACTACCTGTATTTTTGCTCCGGATGTAGATCAGTCATTTTCACTTCCGTTACACGCGGTCAGCAGAATTCTTTTTCCTGTT